TGGCAACATGGTATGGCAGTGATTTCCCCACTTCCTGCTGTCAACAAATTTTCATCTAAATTGACTACAAATCTGTCACCCAGCTTGGACACATGGCGACCTTCAAAAATCTTGTTTGCTGACGCAGCTGTAAAATCAAAACAAGAAACACATTATAATCATAAACCACTAACAACATTTTAAAAGAATCATATGAAACAAACCTCATTCTTACCACGGTATCCAATATTTAATTAACTAAGACTCCCTTCTTTAGTCTAGTCTTGATTTTTGGACAAATGTTCCCAGAAAGTGATTGACTTTTTGTCTGTTAGTTGCCCATCTCTTCATCAAGTAAAGGCCGGATTTCCTCCATCATGGTTTAAGATTGGCTTAGACCTTGTATGCACCATTACACTATTAAAAGCCTCTGACAGTTGTTAACCAAGTATCACACTGAGGCTTGCTGCTAAATCTTGATCTTTACCAGTACCTAGAACATATATATGTTCCATCATGTTTACTATGAATATTTGCCAGATTTTTAACAATAGAAATTTAAATACAAACCTGGGAGGAATTTTTTACCAAAGTTTTGAAAGCCTCATCGTTAGCTGTTTATATTTCTCATTTCTGCTTTCCAGCTTGTGGATGGGTTGCTGTAGCTCTGCCTTCCACATCAAACGCTTGAGTTGTTTTCCAGGAATTCTTTCTAAAATTAGCGTATAAGTGCCTAACACAGAAACGTTGATCAACTTCAGCACCACTTCTTGTACGCGTTAGTAGTCCCTGTTGAATGAAATTATGACAGTGTTTGTAGAGATTGATTTCAACCTCAAAGATAATTAACATAATCGGGGAATAGGTCTGTGCATTACCTTTTGCTGGTCCGACATGAATGTAAATGATGAACTTACTTCCTCCCCCCACCGAGATCTTCACCAAAAGTTGAAGGAACCATTTCCAAGTATCCTTGTTCTCTACTTCCCCCACCACGGCATACGCACGCGTAACATTTGATCATTTGACGTCTCTACCAACAGCGTTAACATATTCACCACCATATTTTCTTTCGAAAAGCACCATCCAAACCCAATTATTGGCCTGCAGGCACAAAAACTATATCTTGCAGGCCTTTAGACAGTATTAAAAACCCATAAACTAATTCCATCCAATTCTCTTCAACTTGACTTTCTGTGGATCCTGGATTACGAGCTAAAACCTCATTGGCAAATCATAAATCCCTTCTATATTGGTCTTTGAAAGACCCTCAACATGGTCTGAAGCAATGGCCTTTGCCCTATAAGCCATACATCTAGATACACCTACATTCCATTTTCGATTTTCTTCTCACGAATTTCCTTTCCCTTTACTTGGGGATTTTCTCTAACAGTTTTTTCCAACCTTTTACTGAGCCATTTTGCATTAGTAATCTTAATTTGTGCTCTCTACACATCTGTGGTCATCACAATGTCCTTAATTGCCACGTAGAATGGCTTCCATATAAGCAACATATGCCATCCAGGGGCACTTCCTTTAGACCCCCATACATTTTAGCCTCATTCTCTTCTTACATTTTAATATATTTAATATTTCTGCCATTTTCTATTGCATATGTTTCATGATCCACAAAGTCTTCCTCTTAGCAAAATAATTTCCCACATCCCCATTTATATCTACCATTGTCTTAGGCATGCAGAAGGTTACACCTTCCCATAACCCTCCTCTCATCATCTTCTGCTCACTTTCTTTCTGCTCCACTGTCTAATTCATCGGATTCCCTTCATCATCGGACAAACCTCTATGATGATCACTATTCATTCCATCTCCACATCACTATCATCAGATTGCACATCAACTTCGACATTACCAAACCAATCTCCACTCTATCTCCTACTCCTCTTCTAAATCACACTCAACATTAACATCAACCAGACCTTCCATACAGTCGTAATTACCTCCTCATTGCCATCATCATGACCACTACTGGTCCAGCTTCGAACATCACAACCTCCTCTTCACCTCACCCACCAACATGTGTTTCAATTTCTCCTTCAACAAACATCATCATCCTACCTCTCTCACCTTCATTGACAGACCACCTCAAATTGTCTTTCACTGTGTTGTTCACATTCACCCCCACCAACCTCTCTTTGAATTTCTCCTTCAACAACATCATCAGCCTCAACTCTTTCTTCTGAAACCACAATAGTTTTCATTGATTCCATCACACTGCCCCTCTCACCTCATTAACAGCTACCTTAAATTGTCTTTCACTATGTTGTTCACATTCACCCCCACCAACCTCTGTTTCAATTTCTCCTTCAACAACATCATCAGCCTCAATTCTTTCTTCTAAAACCGGTTCAACAACCATACCCCCAACTTCCTCTTCACCTTCACCCATACCATACCTACAGGTTCAACTTCTACTTCTTCTGTATTTTGAGAATATATTCTAACATATTTATCACCTCAGGTTCATAGACATTGTGAACAACAAAGAGATGAACCTCCCTTAAGCCTGCTAAGGTAACATGTGCATGGCTCCTATGTACTCAACAAAGGTTCCAACCTATTTTCCCAACAGAACCACCACCCACGCATTACAACAACTCCTTAACCCATCATAACCTAGACCTTTTACTACACGACTACAAGAAATAGCTCCACATGTCTGGGTCAAGGATAAACTTGTACTCTCCCCCCTCATACTTAAGTTTTCTTCATTTATGAACTTCCCACCATGTTGAAAACAACTCACAATTTTCCTTCCATTACGTACAACACAACATTATATTTTAACCTATAAAGTAAGAAAAGACTTTAACAATGGGGAACCACATTGCAACCCACCACAAAAAAAAGCATTAACAATATATACAAACCACAACCCACTGAAACAGAACAATCAAACAACGCTTTAATACGAGGGACCAATATGGCAATCGAAAACGAAACAATTACAACATACAACAGTGTACGACAACCATAAAGGACAAATCATCACAAAATTCAATCAAAAGCACATTTACTAACCTGAACACTGTGTTCACTTCGAACCTTCGCCACTGCTTTCCACGTTCTCACCGCCAACACCTTCTTGATTCTACCGAAATACCACCGATAGATCACTCCAGCAATCTAGAACATCACCTATTGTCCGCCAAATTGGAACCATAAAAGACAACCCTCGACAAAACCCTCATCAATTTAGGGATTCCTCCTTCTCATAAAACGTTCGCTATTTATGTTAAAAATCAAAACGTTGCGTTTTGATTTACAAATTTCACTTTTTTAAATCTAAAAAACTCACCATTAAGTCAGGTCAATGCCACGTCAGTAACATTTCGTCATCTCAGCATCCCACTCATCAATTTTTTTAACGCCGTCCAGCCAACTTAACGGAAAGGACTAAATTGATATCAATTTTCAAAATTAAGGACCATTTTGATACACTTTAAAAAACGAGGACCTATCTGAGACATTCCTACACAAATAGGGATGTCGAAAAGGATTAAACCTTGATTATATTTATAATAAAATTAGTACATACAATTTTCGTACACCAACTTTAAAAAAGTGTTAGATATCTTAGATTATTAGATATCTCATAATTATTTTTTATCTTAAATTACTTAGTTTCATTTATTTTGTTTTATTCTTTAGTTTATATTTTGTAATGCACATCATATATAATTTTTTACTGCATTCAATTAGTGTTGTCAAATGGGTTGAACCCGCGAGCCAACCTGGCCCACCACGAGTTCGGGTCGAATTGGATTTGAAAAAAATGAAATTTTTTTATACAGGCCAATTTTCAACCTGATTCACTTAGAATCCGACTCACCCGAGTTAAACCCTTGGTGAGCAACATTGGCTCACCAACCCACCTAGTTTAATTTAATTATTTATTATTTATGTTTAATATTATTAGTTAATATTTTTTTATTGTATTGTAAATGGGAATAAAGAAAAAGATGAGCAAAATATTATAAATTTATCCATTCAAGACTCTAATCTTATAAATGGATAAGTGACCCAAAAGTTATTAATATTATAAACTTATTTATTCGTTTATTGGGTTTGCTTTTTGGATTACATTTGAGTTGTATGTTAAATTTTTTATTTTGAATTGTTTTTAAAATTTAACATCATTTCAGAATAAAATTATTTAAATTTGAATTACAAAATAATTATAATTTTTTTTAATTTTAAAAAAAACTTGTAATTAAGTGAGAATTAAAAAACTTGTAATTTTTTTAGTTTAAAAAAAAATTTGTAATTAAATGAACACTTGAACAAACCCGTTTAACCCATCAACCCATGATAGACCAAACTGGATTCAAATTTTTTGACTCGCTAATAAATTAACCATATTAGATTGACTCACTAAGTAGTCAATCCGTGATGAGTCGAGTCGAATCGGATTGAATGACCTGATTTGAATAAATAAAATCTCGTAAAAGGATTGATCTTGTTCCAATACACTTAATAATCTCATTAATTAAGAATTGAAACTAAAAATAGCTTAAATAAATCTTCCTTCTTCAACTATACGAAATTTTAACAAAACTAAAGATGCTTAAGGAATTGTTAGTAAAATACAAACGAAAAAATTCAAATAAAATATATTTTAATTACTCTATCTAAAAAAAATATTTAGAAAATAAAAATAATATAAACAATTCAAATATTTCAACTTCTTGAAATTGAAAAAAGAACCCCTTCTATGTTGCTTTAGTTTCCAATGTAACCGACGAATTAACCTCCCATGACAAAATAAATTGTAGTGACCAAGCTTCACTACAATGCATAAGAATTGACCAAAATAAGGATTTACTTCAAAATAAAACCACTTATTTAAAACATTTCCTTTTTGACTTTGTTATGCATCCTAACAATGTTGACGCCCTTCATTGAGCACCGACCCTTTCAAGATAAAAACGAGAACGGAGGATATCGTTTCCGTTTAAACGCAAATAAATACGCTGCATTATGCTGGGTCGATGGAGCATAAATGAAAGTGAAAAGAATGAGCATTAAATTTTATATAGTTAATATGTAGAGATAATTGATCCTCAGCTAGTCCACGACAGAACAAGCATTCTTCCATTTTGGAGTAAAACACTACCTGCTTCTCAGAAGAACTGGAGATAACAAAAAAGATAAAGAAAAAGGCTGATGAACCAGAACTAGATCTACTTGCATCATTCATAGTCTCGTACATAATAACCTTTATTGCCTGGCCTTAAATGTTGAACTTTTGTGGAACATCAAAGTCATCGAAGTCGTATCTTTGTCTCTCTCTTCCGGCCTGAGTACGCAAGTTAGCTAAGTTAAAAACATTTTACAGAAATGTTAAGATAACAGAACAGTTGACGAACACACACCTTTGACAAATACAACTGATCACATGAAATTTGTTCATCCATTGCAGTTAGCTTCCTTGATAGTGCCATTATTCTGGCCATATATTGAGAAAAAAAAATACTTCAGTACAATAGGAAGGATTATAGACATATAGGTCACTATGAAATTAACCGTTAAAAGTAACAAAACTGAAAACTTGTCATTTCAAAATTTGAGATGAAACATATTAATTGATTATTGGAAAGTAATTGTGCTAAACGAGCTTTTAACATCAATATACCTCTGGATTGATGAATCAATATGCTCAATCATCTCACAGGTTTTATACTGTTCAGGATCCTCCAAGAATCTCACCATTCCATCCTTCTGGTTGATAGTAGCATATATCTCACCATCCTGAATCTGTAGTTTAGGAGTATGTTATTAGTGGTATGTTAATGCTAAAATGAAAATAACAATGTATATCAGTTGGAGGACCACCATTTGTAGCACATGCATTTCAGCTTCTTTGGGGCTATTTAACTGCACTGTGTTTGCTATATCTTGGAGAGAAAGGGTCAAGTATGTCTGGGTCAATCTTTGAATATTCCGCTTATACATGGATGATACAACCTGCTTAACCAGTCCAAGGTTGTTGTCCTGAAACAGAAATTTGCACAAGAAATCTTGATAAGTAATTGCATAACGTCACAACTGGAAGTTAAACAATGTACTGAGCAACAGTCAAAATGCCCCTATAAATAAGTATTAAATATGTAAAAGAACCCACAGATTCAAACTTCTCCGCATTTGTCTTGACGAAAGCCTCTAATTCTGCAATTTTTCCATTGCCATAAGTATTTGCCAATTCAACATAAGGCTGCACAAATGGCAAAGGGATTAAAATAAGGTTAACATAGCTCAAATACAGAATATATGCATGGAAGCCAAGTCAATGTGCGTTAAAGTAATCACACAATATTGCTAACAGAAAGTTACACGGCCATTCATGTTGATGGTACAAAAAAGGAATTTTAAATAAGTAAATCCATGAATAATTAAAAAAAAAAAAATCGAGAATTGCATAAGATTTTACCCTATAGACAACTTACGAAGAGTGGGATATACTAAAGCAGGCAGAGTCTTGTAGAGGTTACTCAATGGAAATGACAGATTCAAAAATGGGAAAGTGTACTTTAAGCCCCTGTACTTTTTGTCAAATTTTGCAATTGTTCATACACCTTCAATATACGAATACGTTTGAAAATATATGAAATTAGTCTTTCCTAATATTTAAAGCTTAAATGTTTAGTGATGATTTTTACTGCCACAGTTGGAAGAAATCTGGGAATTTAGTTCTTCCTCGCATTACCTAATTACAAAGTCAGAGAACCCAATCAACCTGCTAAATAAGTAATATGTATTTTATACCATTATGTATCTTGTAATGAATGGGTCAATCTTTATCTTTACCTGCTGTATCCGATTTGCAACAGTATGCACTATGACATTATACCTCATTTTACTTTTGTTTACATATACACGCACGCACACACATATGAGTTAGCTTTTGTTTACATCAGGTGTAAAGTCTAAAAGCTCGTACCAAACCCAAACCTTTAATTTAATAAAATCTAATGGTTGATATCAATTCACTTAGTGAGTCATGTGTTACCTATGCATCGATTCAAAAAGGTGTCTTTATTTCCTTGGAAGGAAAACATGCTAGTGTACTTAAATCTGAATGTAAATCAAATTAATGGAAAGTAAATACACAATATAACCTACTTAGATGAACTGATCTGAACCATCAGATTTGGTGTAAGCCTTTTGACTTACACTTAGTATAAACAGAACCTAAATATATGTGAATGTTTACATGCATACATTTTGTATTTCGTGTGTCTTTATTTTCCAATATTATGTATATGTATTTCTTCTATTTATATTTTTTATTAACATTTTAGCTCATCATATTATAATAGTATGTTTAATTTAGTTTTTATTGCTATAAGTAGTTCATTACTATTTTTAATATACCATATATTATACTTTATTTAGGTTATTATTCATTTTAGTTTATTATATTATAATATAATATAAATAACTGCCCAATATTGTCAGTTAAAAAGTGACCAATTTAAAAAATATAACAGAAATGTTGGACTCAAATTGATGGCCAAGCCCCAACAGATGAGAAAGGAGAAAAATACACCCTAAAGCCCTAGGGAACCACGACCCATCCATTTCTGTTATAGCTTGCACCACCCCTTATAAGTGAAACATTATCTGACTGACCACAAAAGGAAAGCTGCAGCATAATAGAGAGCGCATTTCCTGACAACAGATTTCAGTTGAACTCTCAGTTGGACTTCAGATTCGGTGGCTAAAAAGTCCCAGATGCATGATTGCAGCCACTCCAACAGCAACACTAAAACACGTGACAGAGTCTGTTCCTATATCTCATTGCTACTCCACCCTGCCCCACCACCATAATAGTGACCAGGTCACAATTGATAACGTAGGCTGAACACTGTCCTTTCTTCTGGACTGAAGAAAGATGATTCAACTTGGACCAGAAGATAATTTGATATGGGGAGTTATACAATCAAGGGCTGCATAGAAAGGCTGCTCCAGTAAGTACATAAAAACCAGCCTCGGGTGAAGAGAGCAACACCAAATGTCAATACCTTTCCTTCTGACTTGAGGACAAGAAAGCTTCTTAGGAGGGTGGTGTTGATGGAATCTGTCTACCCAAGCAGACCGTGATTCATTTAACCCAATGATTACTACTACGGCAGGAACTATTCCTATCTTTCTAAACTATAAATAAGACAGTATCTTTTCTCTTAACTTTCATTCTGATCACACTTACTAAGATAGAAGTTATTTCTATCAATATTTTGCATATAAAAAAACCAACTTGTACAATTTGACCTTCTAAATTATAAGACAGTATCTCAACCAACTAAATTGAAGTCATACCTGACAGAAGTTCTTTAGGTTCCTTTGAGCAGCAGAAGAAGAATACTTAGGAAGACTGGTAGAGAACTGCCAGAAAACAAATGGCAGGTCATCACCTGATAAATTATAAATATAGCACCTAAAAAAATAAAGTTTAATTTGGTCAAAATGAGAAAAACCCCATACACAGAGGGTTTGTCATCTGACAACACTGTTTAGGATCTGATGCATAGGAAACATAACAGGTGTAACCTCTAAATAATTAGACTTATACCTGTCCATTACGAATGAGAGAAACCAGTATATACTTCTTGTACGCTTCAACAGCTATAGCATTAATGACAGACATGGGAGCAGTTACAACCTGGAAAATATAAATACTGAATTAAAAGGTTGATACTAGAACAAATCATGAATAACACAAGTTATAGATTATGTAGATTGCTTACATTATGCAGAAGGTCCAATGCTTTTTGAAAGCGCTTCATTCCAATGCATATCATTCCTCTGTCAGAAGTTCAAAAGACAGACAATATGCAAAATGCTTCACTAAGAGCTCATCACCAGAAGTATGATCTAAAGTTATTAAATATTGACAAGTATTCAAAGTACTTGTCAATCTGATCCATGTGCACTTCAATTTAACTATGATAAAACTTGAGATAAATACAAAAGAATAGAGAATAAATTTGAGTAGCAATGGTGGGTGCCAGTTAAACATCCCATCCTCATCTCTGAAGTAAAAAGACATCCTCATCACCATTTCCTATTCTCTTCTCTTCCCTGATACCCTTTCCTCCCCTTTTTATTTTGCATTTTTCCCCTTCCAACTCCCAAATACCCACATGAATTGACATGGAAAAATCCTACAACCCCACCACTACTGTTAAAAAGACAGAACATTACCTACACCATATCTAATATAAGTGAGAGAAATTCAATAAATTATTACAAACAGTGAAGAAATTACAGCACATTCTATCAACTAAAACACAGTGCTAAAAGCACAGAAAGAAATAGAGAAAGAAAGCAGCGCACCCATAATAACAGTAGAGAAAAAGGTCTCGTGGATGGTTGACTTCAAAAACATCATCATCCAATATGGATAAACCAGTTTTGTAGCACTTTGACAACAAGCAAAGCAAAAGAAACTCTGAATGTAGGGGAGTTAAGTGCTCTGCAGAGACCTGAACTTTCCGAAGTGCAGTGAACAAAGGAGCCACACCTCGTATTGGAGCTTCCAACAACATCACTTGATCCTTCAACCTCTTACACACAGATAAAACTACAAAATTCCAAAAGGAATAGAAACACAAATATTCAATTGAAAACCGTGAAACAACATCAATATCATACTAAAGCCTCTGCTTCCTTCAATCTTTCAACCTTCTACACAGATAAAACTAAAAAATTCCAAAACATTCAAAAACACATCAACCAAAAACCAAGAAATAACATCAACATCAAATTAAAACTCATTCTGTAGCAGATCCTTCAGCTTCTTGAACATGCATAAAACTACAAATTCGGAAGAAAATACAATCAACATTAAACAACCAAAGCCAAGAAAGAAAATCAACACCAAAAAATAAAATCTTCCCAATCTTCATTTGTCCCCTTTCTTCTCTCTCCAGTTGATTAACCTTGACTCACTAATTATTTTTCCTCTTTCCCAATCAAGAGTTGTTAGTGAGATATAGAATGGATGGGTGAAGAAGTGGGATGTTAGGTCGGGAAGAGTTAGAGGAGATATTTTTAAAGTAGTGGGATTCACCGGAACTCTTCCACTCCCTATCTCACCTCCTCAATTCCTATGCTACGTGGGACTTTTGACAGAACAATTTCCATTTATCTCTCAATCTCTCGCCATGTTTGTTATTTATTTCTCTTTTAACCAAACACTTACAATTTGTACTCTATTTCCCACCTATGCCCATTCATCGTTTATGTTTCCATCAAATCTATTTCTCCTCTCTACCACGCCGACCAATCATATCTCCTTCACTTTTATTGAATTGTAAACAACACTCGATCGCACAAGTATCTAACAACCAATAAAATAATCTGAACCCGCAATTTGTTACTTAATTAACTAATGTAAGCAACAAGGTTTCAAAATCAGTGCGCAAAAACAACTTCGGCCGGCGATTTCCCAATGTCAAGGATCAACCCTAACTGCGACCGCAATTTAAAGCCGTTTCCATAAAAGCAGTGAATCAAGAGAAAATAAAGATTCGAATATCATATTTTCATACATCTTTCAGGGGCCAAACGAATCTGATCGCTGCAAGCGCCGATGAACCTGGTAACGATTGGAATGGCAGTCTCAGCCTGCGTTTTTGTGATCGGACTAGTCATGTAGGCTTCTCTGCAATCGCAAAAAGAATCAAAATAAAACAATTCGCGTAATCTGGCAACAATATTCAAGGTTTCAAGAACTAGGGTTTTGGACATCGACAAATAACGCTTAAAATTAATCTTTTTAGGGACGTACAGGATGTAGAGAAAACCGAGGGAGTGAATGGAGGGGTCGAGTTGAGTGAGAAGCGAGGGCAGGCGAGTTGACTGGGATCGGAGCGACTCATCGGCTTGCTTCAAAATACTGTGGAGGCGACTGACATCGCTAGAAGTGCTCGATAGCCCTTGGATTTGGGCGACCAAAGCTTCCAGAGGGTCCATGCAGTGCAGTTACTCGCTTTTCGACTCGTTCACTCGTTTGTTCTTACTGACTTAGTGAAAATACGTAACAGTGAATCCCTCCCGAAGCTCGTCTTCGTTTTTCTGTCGTCCTGAGAGTGCAATGTAGCACATGAATGTGTTTGTGCACTAATGAAAGATATTTGAAGGAAGGGAATGGAATGGAATGAATGTGAAGTGGTGGGTGAGATGGATTTAAAAAAAGCAATTTGCAAAAGTAGATTATTATTAATTTGTCCTTTTTTTATTTTTCATATAAAATGAAATTGTAAAGACTAAAAATTAAACTAAAATAAAATTAAAATTGTTAAGGATAAAAAAAAAATTAAAATTATAAAAACTAAAAGGACATTGATTAAGAGAATAATCTTTGTTTGAGTTTGATAGGTTATGTTTCACTAATCAAGGTTGGCAATAAAAGACAATGTCATCAAAGTTGATAATAAAAGACAATGTCATCACAAGGTCCTCTTATTCAATAAGCAAGCACACAAAAGTTTATTTAGCTTGGTTATGTTGACAAAAAGCTCGATTTAATTCAGTAAAGTCACTAATAAAGATGGATAAACTAAATTTAGGTAGACAAGGTCGGCAACCAAGCTCGGTTGAGCTCGACAAACTCGTAGTGATTTTGTCAAATACACGATTTTCTAACACACATAATTCAATTTACTGCATGTTTTAAGACTATGGAATCGATTTTAGTATCATAATAAATAAAAATTGTCCTCATTCATAGCAAATTAAAAATAGTTTTTAACACATTATTATGACTCGTTAATACAAACATAATAAATTAAACTCAAATTGATGTTGTTCTTTGGGAGTGTGGCCTTTTGACAGGAGGTGGCATGTGATTGAGTCAAAAAGATTTCTTAGTGTGCTCTAGAAGGTTAAGCAATGAGGATGCAAAAGGTTTTCGACGCTCTGAGTGTAAGAGAATAAGTGTATGTTTTAATGTGTGTTTGTGATGGATATGCATGAGAATGTATAAGGTCTTAGGATCATATGCCATTTGTGCGATTTACATATGGAATCTGTTGGAGATAAAATATTAGGGAGTGTTCACTTTAGATTATTGATTTGAGGGAGAGTGAATGGATGAATTTGAGGAGATTTGAGAGTGACTTGATTGTTGTGTTTTTTACGGGATTTAGAGGTGAGTAAGAGTGAATTTGGGAGTAAAGTCCGTAAAGATTAGTATAAGAGTTCATCGATGTAACAAATTAAAAAAAAATAATTGGTATAAATTGGAGATTACCAAAATACTCCTAGTTATAAAAATAATATAAATTGATAATTGTTAATGTTATATTTAATTGTAAAGATATTCATAAGGAGGAAAAAATAAAAATGATTGCTTGTTCATAAAATTGTGGGAAACTAAAAGAAATAAAATCCTTCTAAATGTCAACACTTTGTTTACAAAAGCTTTGATACATAACTTGTTTTCAGAAACATAGATTTACTCTATTAAACTAAAAAGAAAAAGTATAAAAACACATTCTACTTGAAATGAACAAAATATTCAAATACCCTTGTTACTTTAAACGACAAAGATGCAAAACAGTATGCAAAAGACCAAAGGAAGAGGCAAGGAATTGGAAGAAAGTAAAAACATGAAATATTTATAGGTACAAGTAGCCTTTGAATCTGCATGAAGAATTTTCTAGCAAAATAGTCTTGAATGGTGTGTAGTTATTTGGGGAGAAAGGAAGGGAAGGCATCAACAACAACCGTGGAGAAGAGATTTTGGTATTGCATCTGAGTGACAAAGGTAGTGTCGTAGAAGAACCAATGGACATAGAGAAAAACATGTTGGGCAGGTGCAGACTTGCTGGAACCAAATAAATCACCACAGGAATCGAATATAACAATACAACATGATGAATGAGGGAGTGGAACCGAATACCAAAGAGCGAGAACCGAATACAACATCAGTTGAATTTGTTGTATGGAATGGAACCGAATACAACAAATCTAGAATCGAATACAACACCCTAAAGAACCAAATACACTATTCTTCAATTCCTTCTTCAAGCTTTATTATTCATCTTCTCCATCTTCAACACATGCTCATCTTCTATATGGAGGGCAAATGTGACATTTGAAAGGAATTCACTCAAAATCCGAACGATTCAGTGAGTGATAAAAAAAGTACATGTCTTGCAAATCCATTTAAGTTTGTCTTCGAATATCCGCTGAAATGAATACGGTGCATCTCTCAAATTAGTCTTAGATTTTCCTCTTTAACAATAAAATTTGTTCATTCGAACATGGCCTTAAAGGGTAACTATTTGGCTGTTTAAAAGACAAAAATATTCAAGACTACAATAATGAACCCTTGATGGGTCGCGCCGCCTAGTCATTTTAGGCTAGGTATGTACAAATGCATATCCAATATTGGACTCAAAGTCTTTAGGTGTACATGTAGTTATTGGACTCAAAATCAATATGTGTAATGCATATTGTTTTGGTGGGTCCTAGGTCGAGCTTGTGGTTGTCGTAGACCAGACGATTTATGTAGTAGACTAAATCGTTAACTGCTCAGTTTCTAGCACCTTTCCAAGATCGCCCAAAGTCTGCTTGAATGGTACCTATTGAAGGTAATTCGATACTGAAATCAGTATATGACCAATCAGTTGGAGAGCTGGTTGGAAGAGTTCAGCCTTAAGAGCTCACCTTGGTAGGACTCAACCAGGAGAGTTCGACTAGAGGAGCTTAGTTTGGAGAGGTCAGCTCAACTCGGAGAGCTCGACCTAGAGAGTTGGGCATGAAAAAGTTTGGCCTATAGAGTCGGCCTTGAGAGCTTAGTTTGAAAAGCTCGTCTTGGAGGAGCTCAACCTATAAAGCTTGACTGGAGGAGCTCAATTTGGAGAGCTCAACTAGAAGAGCTTAACCTATAGAGTTTAATTAGAAAAGCTTTGTTTGAAGAAGTCTTGGAGCTTAGTTAGAAGAGCTCACCCTCCAAAGAGCTTAACCTCGAAAGCTCGTTTGAAGTAGCTCCACCCGGAGTTGCTCGATTGGAGGAACTCAATTTGGAGAGATATTGGAGCTCAACTTAAAGAGCTCATCTCAGACTGCTCAATCTAAAAAGCTCGGCTGGAGAAGCTTAAGTAAAAGAATTCGGTTTGAAGAACTGGGCATGGAGGAGTGATAACTCAATTTGTAGAATTTTATTACACTCCTTTTAATATCTTTGTTTCCTTTATTTTTCAATTCTAGTTTATATTTGTGTATCCTTGGAAACTTCAGGTTTTATTGTCGAGCTTATTAGATGTGGAGTTGATGGGTTGCTGAGTTGTTGGTGCGGAGCTAATGGAGACTGACTAGTTGGAGCCGACCTATTCAGAATTGACCTGTTAGCTGTTGATATACTGAGTTGCTGACTTAAATTGTCGTGCTTCTAAATCACTGAGACCGGATTGCTATGTTGCGAAGCTGTCAAGTTTCTATTCTACCAAGGTGACAGGTCTCCACACTATCCAAATGAACTAAGCGAGGGATGTACACTGCCACATGAACTCACAAAATAGAAACCAATTCTAATGTAGCAATAACACGTATTCTCACACACAACTAGGAGAAACAAACTTTTGTATATATTGAATGAACACAGTAGTCTCAAAAGAGAGGACGTGCAGTGGAATGAGACGGAAAGAAGAACACTCGTACCTTTTACCAAAGTTCCAACACGTTAATGTAATTTGGTTTCTTCTACTTTATTTTCATTATCTTGTAATTTTAATTCCTTTAGACATCTTTCCATAGTTGAAAAAATTCTAACAAAAAAAGTTATACTTTATGACTCTTTTACTAGGATTTGTTTTTTTTTTTTAACCTTTACTTTTTATGTAACACAGTTTCCCTAACCTTCTTGGATACTCGCATCAAACTTAAAAACTTTACTTATATTTTTTAAACTTATAACTTTTTATCACACCCCTCGTAACTAAGTTCTTTCTTTTGATATCGTGGTACATTTCACAGTTTCTTTTTCTCATATGCCTTATTTAAATAAAATAAAAATAAATTGGATGTTTTGCTCAAAAGGGGACTAGTGTTTAAACATATTAATGATTCCAATGTTCTGCTTATGAAAATTTAAAGTGATGATGAAATTCCTTAACTAGCTTATGGTAAAATACTTTGAATGAAAATTATAGGATTAAGCTTGTAATTTAGAATGAAGATAAATAAATGTTTAAATTTAAAGTTACTTTATGTGCTGAATTTAATTCATTATTTTGTATTATTTTACTAGGATTTTATTACATCTTACATCACTTAAGCCATTACCTTATATATATTTATTTGATATATTGACCAATTTTATTTTATTACATTAAGTTCATTAAGTATAGGTGAATGTTGTTGAAACATAAGATTTAAACAGTCATTATAAAGTTACAAAATACATATATAAATTATAAAGTAAATATTACTTTCTCTCCAAGCCAGAATTCCATCTCCATAACATAACCCATCGAGCTAATCAAGACAGAGGAAAACCCTCCAAAACCCTAAACCCTTCTCTGTAATGGGTAGCAGCCAAGCCGCAGTCTCGTTCCTGACTAATCTTGCCCGCTCCGCCTTCGGGCTGGGCGTGGCGGCCACCGCCCTCTCGTCCTCTTTATACACAGTCGACGGCGGTCAGCGTGCCGTCCTCTTCGACAGGTTCCGAGGCATTCTCGACGAAACCGTCGGCGAGGGAACCCATTTTCTCATCCCGTGGGTCCAGAAACCCTACGTATTCGACATCCGCACGCGCCCTCACACCTTCTCCTCCATCTCCGGCACCAAAGACCTTCAGATGGTCAACCTCACACTCCGCGTCCTGTCTCGTCCTGAAATCGGCAAGCTCCCCGTGATTGTCAAGAACCTCGGCCTTGAGTACGATGAGAAGGTTCTTCCGTCCATAGGAAACGAGGTTCTCAAGGCCGTCGTCGCGCAGTTCAACGCGGATCAGCTTCTCACCGACCGTTCTCAGGTCTCTGCTCTCGTCCGCGACAGTCTCATTCGCCGCGCCAAGGATTTCAACATTGTTCTCGATGATGTCGCCATCACGCACCTCTCCTACGGCAGCGAGTTCTCGCGAGCGGTGGAGCAGAAGCAGGTGGCGCAGCAGGAGGCTGAGCGG